CCCCAAAACCCCAAAACCCCAAAACCCCATTATGTTAGGAAGTTATTGATGCTAAGTAATAAAAATTTAACTGACCAATCAATTCTTTAAATTTTTAATTAATTAAATCCATCATTCCTGAAATTACTATTGCTGAAATCAAAATGCTTCTAGCATTATCAACCGCTTATTGCTGTCAATTTTTCTCTCAGGGTTAACCACTTGTTCTTTAATTTTTGCTATTTGTTCATTTAAGTTCAAGCCTTTCATTGCCACAATTATCTTTGCAAATTAAACATCCGAATAATCATGAAAATCATCCTCAAAAGCTTTAATAGCTCTGGACAATAAATTTTGATCAATAATCTCTTTTTTCATCTTAGCAAATAATTCAAATAGATTCAAGATGAGTTTATCATTGTTAAAGTAGATATTTTCTAATTTAAGGAGGCCTTACTGAGCATCAGCTATTTGAATTGAGTGTATTTATAGATTTACCAAGGATTATAGGATGTTGATGAGATCTATTTGTTTGTATTTAGAAAAGTCACTAAGTAAATCGATTGATTAGATACTTTTCAAAACAATATCTAACAATTGCTGATCTCTTCTCGAATCAGAAAGTAAACCTAATGCAAAAAATAACCTGATTGTGTCCTTGATTTTGAAATTAGAGTCGAGATTTCCCTTTATTTTATCTTAAATCCTAAATATAAGTTAACTAGTTCCTCGATTGGAAAGTGATAGTCCAACTAAGCCTTCAATAAGTTAGATCATCGAATCTCTATTAATTGCTTCTTTTAGGTAGATGGATTCTAATTCTCTCCAGAATTCAATATCAGTAATACCAAGCTTGCTAATAGCTAGAAATAATCTACCATCTAGTTATTACTCATATTATCTCAAAGAAAAAATTATTTCTTTCATCAGCGAATATTAATCTAACAGTTCTTGTTTACCTTCTAGCAATTAAGCTAGGTTGTTCAAAAGAAGCATCATAAATCCAGAATCTTCGTAATTAGAAATACCATAAATAGTAGCTATCTCAGCTTAGTTCTTTAATTTATTTATAAAATTACTGATATCTAGTCTTCCTCTTAGTGATCTTAAAATATTTTTAAAGCAATTTTAGAGATTAACTATATCAATATTTTTAAACTCACATTAAGTGAAAACTTCTTATTTTTTTAATATACTTAATAAATGGCTGTAGTATTATATCTTTTTATCTAATATTAGAGATGGTATGCTTTGAATGGATTGAAATACATAAACATTATCTCCTAGCGTTGCATTTTGAGTAGAAATATAATCCAATTAATCTATTAATTTTTTTGCTTAATTGTATTATTTGATGTCCACTAGAATCTTCAATATGTAAGCATATGCATCAAATCTTTATTGAAGTAATTTTTTTCTTAGTAGCAGATTACTTTATTCCAATATGAAATTCTTCTCAAAACTCTTCATTTTTTCATCTCTAACCATCTATAAGCCATTATAAGTGTGTAGCCAGAATAAAAATGAATCAAGCCCATCTTTTGAGGATTAGATCATGGCTTTCTCCCAAATATCTTTATTTTCTGGCAAACTAAGAGTATTTTTTTATTAAAATCGAATTGCATTGCATAATTGTGTTGAAGTGTACATTCTCTAGTTTTCTGCCATATATTTCAGAAGATATTAAATTTGCTTTGTCAAATTATTATTCTAGTTTTAATTCTGTGCTCTTGTCAATTCTTGTGATAAAAACTTGATTGCTAATAATTGGGAATCGATTGTTAGGTTAGGAATATCTTTTTAGATATTCTCCTACAATGATAATAAAAGTATTTTATCTTCTTTGTTATTATTCACTGCAGCTTGCAATAGCTGTGATAATTAATCGCCTTAAATTCTTTCCTAAAAACTTTGATGTATAAATTCCTAATCTTGGTTGTTATTTTTCTTTTGGAAAAAGTTTACGTTTCTTATTTTCTCAAATTATTATTGCCTTGTATAGAATTTCTATTTTTAAAATATGCTCTCTTGTTTTACAAGAGGCTTAAATTCGATTGCAAATTTTCTATAGTGAATATTTATAATTGAATATGTTTTCATTTTTATTAATTTCATATAATAATAATTAAATTTATAAATGTCATTTATTGATTATTGTTGAAGAATTAATGAGTAGTGGGGTTTTGGGGTTTTGGGG